TGGGCCCGAGGGGAGAGCCCCCCCCCCGGGAGCGCCAGAGCACGGCTGTGCCTCCCCCCGCCCCCGGCGCCCGACCAATGGCGTCCAGATGAGCGACGGCGGCGGGAAGAGGAGCGCTCTGGGCCCGTCGGCCCTCTGGGGAGGGGGGGGGCTCCGCGAGGCGGGGCGTGAGCAGTCTTGCTCCTCCCTCCTCCTGCAGCACCTCCTGCTGCTCAGACTCCTCTTCCTCATCTCGGACGCCTCCTCCCTCCTCCTCCTCCTCCACCACCTCCTCCTTCTCCTCCTCCTCCTCCTCCTCCCCCTCATCCTCCTCCTCCTCCTCCTCCTCCTCCTCCTCCTCCTCCTCCTCCTCCTCCTCCTCCTCCTCCCTCCTCCTCCTCCTCCTCCTCCTCCTCCTCCTCCTCCTCCTCCTCCCCCTCCTCCTCCTCCTCCTCCTCCTCCTCCTCCTCCTCCTCCTCCTCCTCCTCCTCCTCCTCCTCCTCCTCCTCCTCCTCTTCCTCTTCCTCACCCTCCTCCACCACCAGTCCTTTTCATTATGATTGATTCCTCCCTGTCGCGCCCCGAGGCCAGTCCGAAGGGCGGGCTGGGCGTTTCGCTTAAGACTTCCTTGCCACTTATGAGCCTAAAGCTTACGAACTGGCAACTGTTTCGCCGATGAAAGGCGGGTCGCTTCCAAAATGTGGATCTCGCTTCAGCGCCGCGCACACCCGTTGAGTAAATGCCAGAACTTCGCGGATTGAGGACAGGTGGCTTTAAACATATAATTCCCACCTAAACATCACACACATTCGTTTCAAAAAATTGCAAGACTTCACAAATTAAGGGCGCTTCCTTTTCAAAATGTGGCTCTGGCAGTAGCGCCGCGCTGGTTATACATATCTATATATATATATAGACATGGACATAGACATAGACATAGACATTGACATTGACATTGACATTGACATTTACATCGACATAGACATAGACATAGACATAGACATAGACATAGACATAGACATATAACGCCGCACCGGGCCTGGGGGCCCCGGGGCCGCAGCCTCGACCACAAATGGGGGGACGTCGGGCCCAGCCCGCTCCCCGGGGCCGCAGCCCCGACCGACCACAAATGGGGGGACGTCGGGCCCAGCCCGCTCCCCGGCGGGCCCCAGGTCGGCCCCCGGAGCGCCCAGACGGCCGTCCAGGCGGCCCAAGGCCGCCCAGAGCCACCCTGAAGACAACCTCCAGCGGTCTCCGGCGGCTCAAGAGGCGTCTCGAACCGCCCCAGACGCCTCCAAGACGCTCGAAGACCCCTCCAAGAGATCCCCCCAGACGGCCCCCAGAATCAAAAATAGCCCCGTTCCCTTCGTAAACAATACATGTTTACCATATTCGATGTTTTGTCCTTCGTACCGTCCTTTACAGCCTCAGACTCTCCCTAGACCGCTCCAAGACGGCCCACGAAGCCCACAAGAGAGCCCGAAGACGGCCCCAGAGGGGCCCAGGACACTCCAAGAGGCGCCCAGGACGGCCCAAACGCGTCCCCGAAGGGCCCCAAGAGGGGCCCAAGACGGGAAACCCAACTGAACTTTCGAGCCCCCCCGCCCCAGGAGGCCCCCAAGAGGCCCCTAAGAGACCTCTAAGAGGCGCCCGCGGCAGGCCCCAAAGGGCCTCCAGAGGCCCCGGCAAGAGGCTTCCAAGAGGCCCCCCGAGGTTCCCAGGAAGCCCCCAGGAGACACCCAAGAGGACCCCAACGGGCTTCTGAGAGGCTTCCCCAGAAACCTTCATGTACGTCTACATGCGGCCTCCGGTCCAAAAACCTGAGACCGTTCCTGGGACGCCGCCGGGGCCGCCGGGCTCCAACAGCCAATTGGGGAAGCACGGAGAACCCCCCAGAAGCCCTTCAGATGCCCCCACGAAGACCCAAGAGGTTCCCAAGAGGCCCTCAGGAGGCACGACTATGTCACGCGCCTGCGCTTGATAGCGCTGTCCAAGATCTTCTAGCGCGCCCCCGGCCTGGGCTAGAACCTCAGCGCGCGCGAAGCGCGCGCGATGGTTCTAGTATACATATAACGGCGCACCGGGTCCGGGCGCCCCGGGCCGGCGCCGCTACCGCAAATGTGGGCTCCAGGGCCTTCGGGGAGCCCCGGGGCCTCACAGAAGACCGCCAGAAGGCACCAAGTAGGCCCCAAGAGGCTCCAGAACAGACCCAGGACGCCCGAAGGTCGCTCCCAGACGCCCAACATGGCCTCCAAGGCGGCTTCAGAAGCCCCCAAGACACCCCAAGCGACCCCCAATAGGGCCCCAAAGAGAGCCCCAAGGGGCCAAAGTAGCCCTATTCCCTTGTAAAACGTATATGTTTAACATATTGCTTGTTCTCGCTGTCGGTCTGGCCGAAGACGCGCCCCAGAGGGCCCCAATACAGCCCCAGAGAGCTCCAGGACGGCCCACGAAGGGCCCAAGACGGCCCAAGAGAGTCCCCAAGACGGGCCCGAGAGGGCCCCAGAGGAGGAAAGCCATCATCGAAGTCCAAGCTTTCGACCCCAAGTGGCTCCAGGAGGCGCCGAGAAGCCCCCAAGAAGCGCCCGGAAAGCTCCCAAAAGCACCCCAAGACGCTCCAAGAGGCACCCCAAGAGAGCTCCAAGAAGCAAAAATCGTCTCATTCCTGTTGGAAAACGTATATTTTTCGCATGTTCGCCTGTTGGGCTGTCATCACGTCCAAGACGGCCCAAGGGGTTCCCAAGACGGCCTAGGAGGCCCCCAAAAGAGCTCCAAAACGGGCCACGAGAAGCCCAGGACGGCCCAATGGGTCCCCAAGACGGCCCAAGAGAGCTCCAACACGCGCCCGAGAGGAGTCCCAGAGAAAGAAAGCCACTCTCGAATTCCGAGTTTTCGGCCCCAAGAGATCCCAGGAGGCGCCGATACGCCCCCAAGAGGCCCCAAGCAGGCCCCCCAAAGCACCCCAAGATGCTCCAAGAGGCACCCCAAGAGAGCCCAAAAAAACTAAAATCCGTCCATTCCTATGGGAAAACGTATATGTTTCGCATGCTCGCCTCTTGGGCTGTCACCGCGTCCAAGACGGCCCAAGCGGCCCCCCAAAACGGCTTAGGAAGCCCTTAAGAAATCACCAAAACGGCCCAGGAGGAACGCAGGACGGCCCAATCGGCCCCCAAGACGGCCCAAGAGAAGCCCAAGAAGCGCCCGAGAGGGGTCCCAGAAGAAGACAGCCACTTTTCTAGAGAAGGGAATTCCCAGAATTCCCTTCTTTAGAAAAGTGGGACTCCTACTCGGGGGTCCCACACATCCCCTGACATCTGGCCAGCACCGCGCCTTCCGGCTTCCCAGGGGGAGACCCCAAGACGCCGAAGGACAGCCCATGACGACCCCAAGGAGCCCCCATAACATAAAGAACGGCCCAACACGCTCCCGCGCAGCCCGAGACACCCTTCCGACGGCTCTCCAGGCCTCCAGGAGGCCTCCAGAAGCCCCAGGGGGTCTGGAAGATCCCACACCCCTGAGGGGCCCGGCCAACACAACCCGCGAGGCACAAACAAAAAACAGCGCCGAACAGCGCCGAGGAACTGGGAAAAAGTTTGGATCCCACATTTTAGTTTTGTTTTCCAAGCTTGCCCCCCGGTCTACTCTTGCACAACAGACCAAAATTACGAGCCCCTTTTTCACCTTCCAAAAATAATTCAGGAATCCTTTGAGGGCCCCAAGTCGTTGAATACCTTCCGCACTTCCCCTTTATACGATTCCGAGGCTTGCGCAGGGCCTCCAAGGGAGTCCCTGGACGCAAGAAGCGACCAACATGATATTACATGAGTTAGCCGATCAAGCCTAGCTAGAACTTGAGCGCGCGCGAAGCGCGCGCGATGGCGCTCTCTCTCTCTCTCTCTCTCTCTCGCTCTCTCTCTCTCTCTCTCTATATATATATATATATGTATATATATACATACATACATACATACATACATACATACATACACACATACATACATACACACATACATACGTACATACATACATATGCATACATACATGCATGCATGCATACATACATACATGCACATATATAACAGAGATACATACGTATATCTAGGAGTATACCTATATGTATGTGTATATATTGTGTTTAAATAAATAAACAAAAAAAACAAACAACCAAACAAACAAACAAACAAAAACGTTTACGGTCAATGAGTGAGAGGGGCAAAGGGGTCGAGGCAAGCATTGCCGCAGAAGAAAACGCAGGGCATAGTTGCAATTGCAGCTCAAGACTTCGGGGCCCCCCGAAGGGGGGGGGATGCTTGGCTCCCCCTCGGGCCCCTCCCGAGGGACCGCCTGCCAGCGCGCCGAGCGATCGGCGGGAGGGCCCGCGTCGGCTCTGGGGCTGGCGCGGCGGGGCCCTCCTGGTCGGCGAGACGCTGGCGCTGGCAGACCGGGGGGCGCTTCTGGAGGTGTGCGAGCTGTGCTACCTCCTCGGCCTGGCGCGGCTGAGCGCGCAGGGGGCAGCGCTCACGCCGAGCGAGAGGACGGCGCTGCTGGCCGAGGCGCGGCACCTGATGGCGGTCCTCCGGATGCCGCCTACGGGGAAGGCGAAGGCTAAAGCCAAAGCCGAAGCCAAGGCTAAGGCCAAAGCTAAGGCGAAGGCGGTGGCCAAGGCGCTGGCGGGACGAGGCCGAGGCAGGGGCCGCGGCCGGGGCGCCGGCCCAGGCGCAGCGCCCTTCCCGCCGCTGGCGCCGGGAGCCCCACCCGCTGTGAGAGGCGCGGCCGCGGTGCCAGGGCCCCCGCGCTGGGGCTCGGCGCTGGAGGCGCTGGAGGCGGAGGCCTCGTGGCTCTCGGCGCGCTCGTCGGCGCGCCCGCCGCGCCAACAGGTGGCCCTCCAGGCGGGGGCGCGGCCCTGGTCGGCGCGCTCGCCGCCGCCGCGCCGCCGGGCGCGGGCGCGGGGGCGCCGCCGCCCGCTGCGGGAGCAGGCATGGTGGCCGGCGCGCTGTCGCCAGCCGCGGCCGCTGGCCCAGGGCTTGCAGGTGCTGCGGTGGGGCCAGCGGCTGCCCGCGCTGCAGCGCCGGCCGCTGGCGCGCCCTTGGATCGGCGGGCCCGCGCTGGTCTGGGGGGCCTTCGCGCGCGGGATGAGTTGGGAGATCCCGACGCAGGACCAGGCGATGAGCGTCGACGGCACGGCGGTGTTGGAGGTCGAGGAGACGGGGGCGCCTGGCGCAGACGGGCCGCACCTAGCCGCGCAGTTCTGCGGGGCCTCAGTGCCGGCGCGGGCCCTGGAGCTGGACGCGGACTTACCGCCGCCAGGTGCCGGGCTGCCGGGCCTGCTGCACCTTTGCAGCCTCGGCGCGGCGCAGTGCACTGCGCCCGCCGTGGCGGGCCGAGGCGAGCGGCACGTGGTCTCGCTGCGCTTCCGCTCGGCCCGCAGCCCGGTCGAGCCGGGGGTCCGAGCGAGCGCGTTGCCCGCGGCCGGCTGCGGGGGCGCCGCTCACGGAGGCGCGGCCGCCGCCCCCGGGCGACTGGCGGGCGCTGCCGCCAGGCACGCTGCGGCGGCGGCCAGCGCGGCGGAGCTCGTCGGGTCGCGCGGCGGCCGCAGGCGTCGGCGGAGCCGCTCGAGGAACAGCAGCGACGATCGACGGCGGCGACCTGCTTGTTCGCGGGGCCCTCTCCCGCGGCAGCGCCATCCTGCGCTGGCCGATCGGGCTGCGGGAGGGGGCGCCCGGGCTGCGGGCGCGCCCGAAGGTTCGCGGCCACCTGCAGGCGACCATCTTCGGCCACCGCCCGATCCACGGGGTCGGCGAACGGACGGCGCGCGCGCTGCAGACGCTGGCGACCGCGCCGGGCCCGCTGGAGCTGGGGAGCCTGGCCTCGGCGGCGGACACCCTGATGCGGCGGGCCAAAGCGCTGGAGGTCTACCTCGACAACGGCAACTGGAACATCGCGAGCGAGCTGGAGGTGCACGAGGGCAGCCGCCCCACGCCGGCGTCGCGGAGCGAGCAGGAGACGGCGAGGCGCGCGGTAACGCTCAGGCGGCGACTGGAGGAGGCGAAAGCGCGCGTCGCCTGCGCCGCTGGCCCGCGGGGCGGTCGCCGGCGGGCTCGCCGGCAGCCGAGCGGCTTCCCGAGGGCCGCGGTCGCGGAGCAGGCCGCGGCGGCAGGAGCGGCAGTTGGTCCGCTTTGCAGACGCGCGGCCGCGGCGGACGCACGTCCAGCCCGGCTCGGGCGCCCAGCCCGGCCGCGAGCGGAGCTTCAGCTGGGGCCGCAGCCGGGGCGCCCGCCGCCTTCGCCGCAGCGCCCTCCGGGCCTGCAGAGCGGGCGCCCTCGCCGGGACAGGCGCGGACGGCGCGGGGGGCAGCCCAAAATTGCCCAACCCCGAGGCGCGCGATGCTGAACCTGGAGCCGGACGCGCAGGCGGTCGACTGGGGGCGGCCAGCCACGGACGCGGCGCCGAAGGGGGGCGGCAGCGGCAAGGGCAGGGACCGAGCGCCATGGGGGACATGCCGGCCCCACCGCGGCGGCAGCGGCCGCAAGCAGCAGCGGCGCTAGCGCGCGGGCGCCTGGCGAGCACGGCTGAGGAAGCGGGCGCGAGCGCGGGCTCTACGAGCTCTGCAGCGGCGGCCGCCGACCGCCCGCGCCTGGCCGGGGCCCCCGCAGGCTCGCGAGTGCCGGCCGCCGCCGGGCGCGGTCGCAGCCGTGGAGGGGCGCCCCGCTGTGCCGAAGCCGAATCCCAATGCGTTGCGGCCCCTGCGGGGCCTCGGCACGCTGGGGGCGCAGGCTCGCTGGAAGACGCTGATGGCATCGCAGGTGGCAACGAGCGCCGGCACGCCGCAAACGAGCCCGACGAGAAGCCAGCCTCGCACTACGACGACTGGCGGAAGCTGGTCGGAGCGGCCCACGGCGTCTTCCGCCGGCCGCTGGACGCCGGGCCGATCTTGAAGCAGCTGATGCGCGCCTTTCTTGGGTCGCTCGGGCAGCGCATGAAGGAATTTCAGCACTGCGAGCAGAGGCCAACTAGGCAGGGGCGGCCGCAGCGCGAGCTGCCGCCGCCCCCCTGCCCGCGCCTGGAAGTTCTGGACTTCACAAACGCGGAGGAACGAACTGGACCCGCGCGACCTGGAGGCGCTGCAGGCCAGGCTGATGGCAACGGTCGCGGCGTTGAACTGGGAGACGGGCCGCAGGCGCAGGCGGCGCAAGCGGTGCTGCGCGGCTCGGCCGAACGCGGCGCAGTGGTCGGCGCTGCAGGGGCTCGCGAGGCGGATCTACACCGCCCTCAGCCCCGAGCCCGTGCTCGCCGACGACATCGACTGGATAAAGGACAGGCAGATCGCCCACAACGGGTCGGAGGTGTCGACCCCGCTCCTCCTCACCTTGGAGCAGGTCGTGGGCGGCCCCCCCCCCGCGGGAGTTGCAGCCTCGATCGAGGCCACGGCCTTCGCCTCGGGCTTTGTCCGAGCCGCCCTGCTGGACCCCAGCCCAGCGCGATCTTGCCGCCGGCCCAGCGGAGGCGCGCCGCCACGAGCACGCGCGACCGGGCCTCCGAGGGCGAGTGGCACATCATTGTCGGCGCGCTGTACGAGCGCGGGATGGCCGGCCCGATCGACGAGGCGGCCACCGCCACCCGCAACGGGCAGATGCTGGTGAGCAGCGCCTTCGGAGTCGCCAGAGCACACGACCCCCCGATCGCATGCGAGGGCGGCGCGAGCAGACCAGCGCCGCGGTTGATCATCAATTTCGCGCCGGCCAACGCGCGCCAGAGTTGCATCGCCGGAGACGCGCCCGAGATGCTGACCATGGGGCAGCTGAACCAGCTGGCGCACGCGCCCAGCGGGACCCTGCCCTGGAGCGGGGCGAACAGGAAGGCCTTCTTCTACGTCTTCAGGGCGCCGCCGGCGCGGTGGCCCCACATGGCGCCGGGCCCTTCGGCGCCGGCGCGGCTCGCGGGGTAACTAGTTCGGCGACGGCTCGACCCGCCTCGCGCTTAGCGTGATCGCCATGGGCTGGATCAGCGCTGTCGGGGTCACGACACACTTCCACAGGAATATGCTGCGGCGCTCCAGCGCGGCGCCGCGCGGGCTGGCGCCCGGCACGGAAATCGTGCGCAGGAGGCCACTGTCGTTCGGCTGTGAGGCGCCTTTACCCGCGGGTGGGTTCGTCTACATCGACAACCTCGAGATCGCGGAGGCCGTCTCGGCAGAGGAGGCCGAAGCGCTGAAGGGCAGTGCGCCGCCGCTGCTGAACCGGGCGCGCGAGCGCCACGAGGCGGCGGGCCCCCCGGGGTCGCCGGGCACGAACGCGCCCCGCTCCGCGCAGGCGGCGACCCTCGGCGAGCTGATCGACGGCGTCGAGGGCACAAGGAGGCCCCCGCTGGGCTACGTCACCGAGCTCACGAGCCTGACCTTCTGGGCGCTCGGCAAGCGGCGGGCGAGCAGGCGGCTGATGCCCCTGTTCGGGCGCTGGGCGCGGGCGCAGTGCTTCCGCCGCCCGCTCGCGGCCGCCCGCGTCAACGCGCGGCGGTGGCTGGCGGCGCCCCGCGCCGGCGGCTGGACGAACATCGGCGCGGCAGAGGATAGGATGATGGCGATGGCGCTCTCGGTGCTGTCCGTGGCCGAGATAGGGCTGGAGGTGGACAGCCTGGCCGCGGCCTCCGACGCGTCCGAAGCCGCGGGTGCCGCGGTGCACTGGAAGGGCCAGTCGCCGCGCGGCGAGCCGGTTGCCGCCCGCAGGGCGCGGCCGCCCAGCCCGGCGCGCGAGGGGGGCGCGGCGCTGATCTCGGCCTTCGCGGGGATCGACTGCGCCCGCGGGATTTTTGAGATCCCGGGCCTGGCGCCGGCGGCCCATCTTTCATTCGAGGTCGACGCCGACGCCGCCCGGATCGCGCAGCGCGCCTACGGGAGCATCGAGCACCTGGGCGATATCACGCCGGCAGACCCTTAAGGCATTGGCGCTGCGGCTGAGAGAACACGGGCGCGCGACCTGGGCGCTGGTGGTGGGCGGTCTCCCCCTTCAGGGTCGCAGCACGGCGCCCGACGTGGACCGCAAGGGCACAACGGCCCGAGGTCGCAACTCGCGGGCCACGCGATGCGGATCATCGCAGGCCTGAAGCGTGAGATGCCCGAGGCCGTCGTGGACTTCCTGGACGAGAACTTGTCGACGATGGCAGAGGGCGGGGCGCCGCAGCTCAATGCCACGTTCGGGCGCGCGCCGCTGGAGCTCAAGGCTGGCGACCTGGGCTGGGCGCGGCGGCGGCGCATGTTCTGGGCCTCCTAGGACCTGCTGCCCTCGCTCGAGGCTGCCGACCTTTGTCCGCTGGACCCCGCGGAGTTCGCCGCGCCCCAGGCGAGCTCGGCGGCGAAGACTGCGCCCGCGAGGTTCGAGGCGCTGCGGCGGTCGCTCATCGGGAACTTGTTCCAGCGCGAGGCGGACGCGCGGTTGCTGGCACATTGGGCCGCGCAAGCCGAGCTGCAGATGGCCGCGCCAACGCGGGCCGCCCTGCACGCCAGCTCGCGGAGCTGGGCCGGCGGCCGCAGGCGCTGGGCCGGTGACTTCCTGGCGCTGCGCGAGGGCCGCGAGGCGGTCTCGGAGGCGATCCTCGCGGCAGCCAGGCGGAGCTCCGAGGGCGGCACCGCTGCCGCGGGGGCCGCCCAGCCAGGGCCGCCTCCGCGGCTCGGAGCGCTGAAGGCCGACGACCTCGAAGCGGGGGAACCCGTTCCCCGTGGGCCGGGGCGGCCGCCCGCCGACGCCGCGGCGCTGTACGTCAGCTGGCTGGCGCGGCAACTCGCGCTGCTGGACGCGCTGGAGGAGCCGCGCGGGCGGCGCCTGCTCTGCCACTGCCCGCCCGCGGCGCCGTGTCACGCGGACGTGCTGCGGGAGCAGCTGGCGCAGCGCGGGCCAGGCAGGTGGTGGCCCTTCAGCCCGCCGCAGCGCGCGGCGGCCGCGCTCGTGATGATGCGTCACCACTCTGGCGCTGACCTGCGAGTCGACGCCAACGTTGAGGCGCTCGGCAAGGTCTTCCCCCGGCAGGAAGTAAACGCCGAGCTCCGGCACTGCAAGACGGCAAGGCAGATGGCGTGGCACGACCGAGACCCGCACATCAGCGTTCCGAAGCGCGAGGCATCGCTGATGGCTTTGCGCTGGAGAGCCCAAGCGATCGTCCGCCACGTGAAGGTATACCTCCATCTTCTCGGCAGCATGTTCAGCATCGGTGTTCTGAGTAAGCATCGGTCCAGCAGCAGGCAGCCCAAGCTCCAGCAGTAAGCATCGGCGGTGACGCGCGGGGTGTTTGGCTTCACGTCTTCAGCCAAGAACCCTGCGGATGCCCCGTCGCGCCTGCAGGATGGTCAGGCGCCCCACGCCATCCCTGAGGCGCACCACCCGAGCCCAGCTGGGACGCCCGGCGGATGCGCGCGTAAATTGCAAGACGCACAATCGGTACAGGCGCGTATGCCAGCAGTTTGTTGACTATACAAATGCCTCGCATATTGCCTTGACAGTGACATGGGATGATATGGATTTGCGACCTCAAGATTATCTTGAGCACCCGTGGAGCATAGGGGCGACCAGTGCCAAGCGAACGATACACTCAGCAGTGTCCAGCGCATGGCGCCTCCTGTCAATTTGGGGCCGCCTCGGAGTGCCCTGCCGCGCGCCGCCGATGCAAGCGGGCGCTGCAGCTGCCTTGGCCGGCCGGGCCCTCGCGCACAATCGCGTAGCATTTGCCGCATGTGTGTTGTCAGGCAACCATCTGCCCCTGCGCACTGGCGAGACCCTTGGCATGAATCGCGCGCCTGCGCAGATCAGCCCTGAGGCGCTGCTCACGCGCACCTCACCTCGAGCGGTCAAGCGAGAGCGATGCTGCGAGGGAGATGGAGCTCACTGCGCACAGCCAAGATTCAGATCAAGGACAGCGCAGCCGTTTTAGCAGAGATGAATTCAGTCGCTCTGCTTCCGCCACCATGGACATGTGGGCGCAATCTGTCGCTGCTCGTACGCGAGCAGAGTTCGGCTAGGGCCGGGAGAGGGTTGAGTGGTAAGCTGCTTTCAGAGGAGAGAGATGTGCACGTCGCCGCCGGCCCGCGCCCTCGCCGCCGGTCTTGCTCAGCGCCGACTGTGCGGCCACGCATGGGCCCAACTGGGATGCCCGAGGTGGTTGTTAAGTGGTTAGCGCACTTGTTAAGTGCTTAGAACTCCGTGATCACGGTTACAACATGGATACAATTATATTATAACTTCCACAACCACTTCATATGCTGGCCCATCCGACTTCGAGGTTAGCAAGTGGTTTGACATATTTTCTTGCGCTGTGAAGTGTTTGGGTCACGTTAGTCGATTGGTTATAACCGAGTTAGCATAACCTCACCAGAGGTTATTATCCACTTGCTATGTGAGATAGCTGCGTTAGCTAACTCGGTTCCTAACTAGGCTAGCCAGGGTTCGCTAACCAGGCTAGCCAGGATTAGCTAACTAGGTTAGCCAGGGTTGCATAGGGTGGTGGAATGAATCATCTCATTGGCGGGCAAAAACCATAGATCCGCAGCAGGGTTTTGTCATTTCCCGTTGGTTTTGCAGAGGATCACATTGTGGCGTCGCGAATATCGGATACGGGGTAATCAAAAACCCTCCGCCTCCTCTCTCATTCATCCGCCACCTTCCCTCTATCTCGCCGCCTCCTCCATCGCGCCTCCTCCCTCGCCCCTCTCCTTCGCCCGCCTCGTGCCCCTCGTGACCGTGGCACGCCATAGCCATTTTGGCGCTGAGGTCGTTCCTTTCGGCCCGTCAGTTCGTCTATCGCAACTACTGCTGGCATGGACTCGTCTCTCGAGAGAGCACTTGAGGAGTTGACGCCAGTCATCAATAGTACGATTGCGAGGTTCGAGCTTGGAGACCCCACGGAGGCGAAGCAGAAAAAAGCTGCAGCAGATTTCATCGCTGGCCAGTTGTTGGACAAAAACTTGGCTTACAAACAATGGCTGTCATGGAAGCACGTCGGGAGTCATGAGGAAAACAGGCGGGGACAAGGAGTCGGCGTCGTAGAGTGCCCTTCACTGTTGCTGGACATACTCAAGGTCGGGTGGTCGCGGCCAGAGGTGGCGCGGGCCACGGCCTTCGAGGTCAACCCATCAAAGCTCGATCAACAATGGCAGTTTCAAGAAGATCTCGCGAACACGTCAGATGGGTCTTTACCGACTACAGAAAAGCAGGATCTCAAAGTGTTGGCCGCCATGTGCACCCACGCTGTATTTGGACTCAAGGCGACAATGGCGAAGTGCAAGACAGTGCACGACGAAATCGCAACGGATGGCCACCTTTCTTTGGACAAAGTAGTGGCGATGGCCCCATCGTATAATCAGGCTTTGCAGAAAGGGATGGAATGGTGCACTAGTCGGCACCAGGTTGAGACCAGGTGCCCCAACTTAGCGACATGTCTCCAAGACGCCGGCAACACGGGCAACATCATCCGGGGAAAGACCAAGCTTCAGCTGCTCATGGAGATCCATCGGAGGTCCATCGCCAACGCGAAAGCGAACAAGGGAGATGCCAAGTGGGCCAACATAACCACAAGCATGGACCAAGGCAACCCTGAATTGGTGGGCCAGATATCGGACAAATGCGCATACGTGCGGGAGTGGTCTGGAGGTGATGACCCTATCTACTTGAAGCAGCTCAATCTCTACAACCGGACCCTCACGAAATACAAACGTGACGTCCCGTCTGCGGCGTTCCGTCTCCTCAGCGAAGTGCCACTAGCAGACGGGCCAGAATACATCAACGCATGCGTCAAGGCCTGCATGGGTGCGCCTGAGAGTATCGGCAGGCTACTGACGTCATCCGACACTGCACAGATGGTTGGCAATAGGAAGGCGGAGGTGATCAAAGCGATTGCGACGATACGAGCCGCTTCCAAATACTTGGACGCAGTGAAGGTCACGGATATCAAACGCGCGAAGTACATGGGCGACATGGAGGTTCGCATCATCATGACGGTGCACCAGAAGAAGGCAAAGGGTCGCAAGGAGTTTTCGAACCTGGACAGCATTGGACAGCAAGTTCTCACCGATGTGTTGGACGGCGAGCCATCAGCATCATCAGTGGAGCCACCATGGGCTCACATGCCAGCCTCGACGGGGACGAAGTCTTCATCAGCGTCGGGCCTGCGGCAGTTCACCGAGAAGGGCCTGGGCGTTGCGGAGCTGAAGAGGATGGGCTTCGAACCCAAGGTTGAGGTCGAGACGACAGTGAACTCGGAGAACCCCTGCATCTACACCATCGAGAAGATCCCGCCCAGCAAGGTCACCATGACCGTCAACACGCCGAACAGCAATAGGAAGAAGAAGCAGGAGCTGATCGAGATCAGCACGGGCAAGCTCGTGGACGAGTACAAGGACGTAGCATTTGCAATAAAAGAAAATTGGAAGGGGGAGGGGCGAGGAGGGGGAGGGAGGGGGAAAGGGGGGCCCAGGACGAGGGAGCAGGAAGGGTGGATGGAGGATGGAGGTTGGAGGGGGGGCGGTCGTAGGGGGCACGCCCCCTCCTCCCCAGCTGGTCGAGCACCGCGACGTCTACACGGTGCAGACGTCCGACCTCCAGCCGATGATGGACCCGCTTGCACTCGCTTCATCCTTCACCTCCTCCTCAACATCATCTTCCTATTCATCCGCCTCATCCTCCTCCCCCCCCTCCCCCTCTCCCTATTCCTCTGTATAGTCCTCGTCCTCCTCGCCTTCCTCATCCTATTCCTACTCCTCGACCTTCTCTCCCTAACCCTCCTCCTCCTCCTCTCATGCCAGAACCATGCTCCTCATCCTCCTCCGTTCCGTCATCCCCCCCTGCTCGCCCTCATACTCGCCATCATTTCCGTAGCCATCCTGATCGCCCCCGATCATTAACATCGTGATTCTGCTCCTCCTTATCTTGGTATTCCTCTTTTGTGCCCCTCCCCATCGCCTTGCTACCATCATCATGCTCGTGCCCCCCGCCAGGGCCACAAGGAGACCCGCGCGGCGGCGTGCCTCGCCATCGGGGGGCTTGCTCTCGTCACGGCCTTCAGCGATGAGGCCGACAGCGTAGACATCACAATCGAATACACAGCTGGTTCGAAAACTCGGGTTGAGAATGTTCACCCGAATAAGACGCACGCGAAAAATGCATTGGTTCTGATTCCGCTCACTCCTGGTATCCAAGCCCAGCCTCTCTCTACGACTTTGCCTTCTGGCGCGGTGGAGATGAACTTTAGCAATGCCGTTGATGCCCAGCTTAAGCCAGCGAAACTTGTGCCCCCACACCGCCTAGAGCTGCCTGTCCAGGGGGGCGAAGCCAAAGGCTTCATCGCCCCGTACTGGGCGGTAAAAGCTGCGAAGGACTCGACGGAGGCCAACATGGCCCTTGGGACGATTGATGTTACGGTTTCTTGCGGGGTGCACCCACCGTGGTCAAAGTGCCTACCCTGTACAATACCAATGCCCTGAAGGCTGGCACGACCCCCAGGAAGCCCCCCACCCTTGATGCAGCAGAGGCCGAGGCCCAGCCCCCGACCAAGAAGGCTCGCAGGGGTAGTGGTCAGGCTTGAACCCATCTCATTGCCTCCGCCCATCTTGTTAGGTCTTGCCCTCTCGTCTAGGATGCCCATGCGCTTGGGTGCCCGATTGAAACCTCGTGGGTGAACCAATAGGGAATACGGGTGAACGAAAGGACGACCCCCCAGGGCCATGTGCGTCATGGTTTCTCAGGAGTTCAGAGGCACCGCGAGCGCCGGGCACTGCGAGTCGATGTGGGCGCCTCGCTGAGAGAATCCCTGTGTGCAGATGCGGTAGTTGGCTTGACGTTTCAAACGTTTTCCAAAAGCAGAGAAGACCGAACATCAAAGTCCTTCGAGTTTGTCAATACTGCGCAACAAAGATAACACAGGCTATTGCAGCACAACGCGGACAACTAACGCCGCCAATACCACAGCCAGCAGCGCAGCCCAAGCGAACAAACACATTCCTCCATATCCTTCTCCTTATACCACCCCTCCTCGCTCCATCATTCATTCCGCCCCTCCCTCCATCCATCCGCCCTTCCCATCCGCGCCCCACCCCCCTCTTTAGGTTCCACTGCAAGTGTTTCTTTTCGGCGGGGAGGGGGGGGGGGGGGGGGGGGGCAGCGCTCCGAGCAGGGCCGAGGGTGGTCTGCCACTTGCGCCTCTCTCTGGGCTCCCAGAGTCATCTCGCCGCCGCCGCCCCCCCCCCCCCCTCTCCCCCCCCCCCCCCCCCCCCCCC